TTTTTTTAAGGGTAACAGATTTTATTAGGAAGAACAAAGAGAAAATTTAGAGTTACTTGCAAAGAGAGTTGGAAGTGAGTCCCTCAGAAAAATAAATTTTATAGAGTTAAAAAAAAAGAGTTACTCACATATTTATCATTTCTGAGGCTCTTCATTTCTTCCTATGGGTTTGAGTTTCTGTCTGGTCATTTTCTCTCAGCATGAAGGACTTCCATAAGTATTCCCCAGTGTTTTCATTCTGCTAGCCATAAGTTGTATTTTTATCTGGGAATGTCTTTCTCTTGCCTTAAGTTTTGAATTTGTTGAATATAGAATTTTTGACTGGCAGTTTTATTTTCTTTCAATGATATAATTTAGGGTTTTATTATTATTATTTGACCCTCCTTTTGCAGTATTTGGGGCCTTTCAGAGGCCTCCAAAATAGCACAGAGAAGACAAAGGCCCACTTAGCCGGCAGAATGTTTGTTGTTATTGTTGTTTTTGAGATAGGGTCTTGCTCTGTTGCTCAGGCTGGAGTGTAGTAGCATCATCATAGTTCACTGCGGGATCAAACTTTTGAGTTTCAAGTGATCCTCCTATCTCAGGCTCCCAATTAGCTAGGACTAGAAGCACGCACCACCATGCTCAGTTTATTTTTCTTCTTTTTGTAGCAATAGGGTCTTGCTATGTTGCCCAGGCTGGTCCCCACTCCTGGCCTCAAGTGATCCTCCCTCCCCAGCTTCCCAAAGTTCTGGCCCAGATTTTTTAGAAGGAAATTTGTTACCACTTTTAAATAAGTACAAATGTACAGAGAAGTTTTCTGTACAAGGCTTGTCAATGGGTAGAGCTGAGAAGTGCTGGGGATATGGCCTGCAGATACCTCAGGGCCTCCCCCTCACTGTGACCTGCCCTCTGCTTTAGGGGACTGAAGAGCAAGATCACGCCCCTTTCCTGAGGTGGCCCCCAGCCAATGACTGGATGGTGCCAGGAATGCCCTGGACCAAATCCAAACTTTACAGAATAACACCCTGTTTAGAAGGATTTGTTCTAGAAAATTTGGATTCAGTCAAAAGGCCGTATTGAAGGCTACAGAAGGCCAAAGGTTTACTGCCCCTGAGTTTTGATGATAAAGGGCTGGCCCATTTGCCTCAATTTGGGAAATTGCTTAGGATTCATCTCAGCTCCAGGGCACCCATAGCTTTGTGGGAGGCTTCCTTCTAATTAAGTGCTGCGCCAGCTTTTCTCTCCTGCTAGTTCTGCCCTCCCCCCAACCCCACCCCCTGCTATTTCCTTCCAGTTTATCTCCCCCAAACCCTTCTGCATTCATCTCACTGTCTCAGTCTGCTTCTAAGGAACCCAACCTAAGATACAGGGTGATATAATTATATGTGGCTATCAGTTTTCCTATCCCGGATCACACACTTCCAGGGTGGTCTGCCAGCATCTGAACAAAAGCCAAATGGGCAATTACTATGAGAGTTTCAACTATTTATCTTTGAGAAACACCAGATTCTCAATTAATTAGCATGGTGGATGTTAGAAACGGATTTTCATTTGTGCATTTAGTAGCTTATTAATTATCACAGTGGGTGTTAAAAATGAGTTCTTATTGGTGAAATTGCTAGCATGTAATGTTGGCTTAAAATATTTTAGATACTTTGCATGGTGTTTGAATAGTCTCTAAATAATCTAGTAAACCAGCCCGGCAAGATGGCTCACACCTATAATCCTAGCCCTCTGGGAGGCAGAGACAAGTGGATTGCTTGAGCTCAGGAGTGCAAGACCTGCCTGAGCAAGAACAAGA